AACCTTAGGAATGTGCCCAAGGTCACAAAGCGAGTGAGTGATAGAGCCAGTTTGCTTGATTTCAAAGCTGAAACTCTTATATCTTGTTTCCTCTAACACAAGTAGAGGGTGGGATAATACAGCAGAAAAGAGCACTGAAATGTAAGTTAAAGACCTAGGTTTAGGGGCTTTCCTGGTGGCGCAGTGGTTGAGAGTCCACCTGCCGATGCAGGGGACACGGGTTCGTGCCCCGGTCCGGGAAGATCCCATGTGCCGTGGAGCGGCTGGGCCCGTGAGCCATGGCCGCTGAGCCTGCGCGTCCGAGCCTGTGCTCCGCAACGGGAGAGGCCACAACAGTGAGAGGCCCGCGTACCGCAAAAAAAAAAAAAAAGACCTAGGTTTGACGCATGGCTCTGCTATTGAAAAACTGAACGACGTCTAAAAACTCACCTCATCTGGGCCTCAATTTCTCCCTCAGTGAATCATTTGCTGCCCTAATGAGACATCAACTTAGGCCCCAAACTGAACACTGTCCTTGGGCCTCTATGTCTCAGAGCACACCTGACACCTGACTGGCGGCACGGCCAGGAGAGCCCCAGGTGGGCCAGCCTGGAGCCAACTCTGCAGGTGGAAAAGACAGGAAAGCACCTGTGCTGCTCTGTGGCCACATGGGGAGGACTGAGCTGTCTGCCATTGTCAGGACTCTGGGCCGAGCCAGTGTGATCCCTCTTCCCCCTTCCCAAGCTCTGAGGCTGCTGTGGGTGGATGGATCCTGCTCACTCAGCAGACACCCCCAGCTACTGTAAACAAAATTTTGATTTGCGATTTCTCAAACCTCAGACCCGTTAAGACTGGGAGAGGTAGCCATGACTGGAAACTGCAGTGGGCCCAGGTGCTCTGGGGGTGTTTACTACAAGCCTGTGGTGAGGCCTGAGCGCTCACCCTGGATGTAGAACCCAGCAGAGCCAGCACAGGCCATCACTCTAAGTCCTACGTGAGTGCTGCACAGGGAAGAGCACTGACCTAGGGATTTCAGTCCATGCGCAAATGGGAAAACAGAGCTGAGAGGGACACAGATCAAGGGATTCTTTGCAGATACCCACCAGGCATGGCCCCGCCCTTGCAGAAGTCTCCTGGCAAAGAGCTTCCTAGTATCTTCCTCAGGTTCCAGCTGGCAATTTTCAAAATTTTTCTTTAAGAAGCATCAGCAGGAAAGTATAAAAACAATCTCTGCCATCAGGACAGCTGCTGGATTCCAAAATCTTAGCTCCCAGGAGTACACCAACTCTACCTGAGTCCTTGAATGAGAGAGCCAGTAAGAGCCTTAACGACCAAGCCCATTTTACAGATGAGGGAAGCTAAATCTAGGCAGGAGAACTAAATTGCCAAAGGTCACTTGATAAGGCAAGGGCCAAATACAGAAATCCTAAAAGTACAGGATACAGGATACAGGAGGAAAGAACAGACCTCCTCCTGTCTTTTACACAGAACCCTTATCAACCAAAGGGTTCTTGCCCAAAATCATGGAATGTACAGCTGAAAGGAATTATAAGGATCCTTTAGTTCAGCTGTTTCATGATCCAAATCAGCAAACACATACTGAGAAAAGTGACCTACACCGGGTCACACAGTGAGTGGCAATTCTGAAGAGACCAAGGTGCTTTCCTAAACTTTACAAGAAGTTCTCTAAATGGAAGTCCAGGAGTTATAAAAAATCAATTTGTGTATAATGATGATGATGATGATGATGATGGAGATATAATCCACATACCCTAAAGTTCACTCTTTTAAATTGTACAATTCAGTGCTTTTAGCGTATTCACAAGGCTGTGTAACCATCAGCACAATTAATGTTAGAACCTTATCATTACCTCAAAAACAAATCCCATACCCATTACCAGTCGCTTCCCATTTCCCACTCCCTCCGGCCCCTGCCAGCCACCAATCTGCATTTGGTCCCTATGGATTTATCTATTCTGAATATTTCATATAAATGGAATCATACAATATGTGTCCTTTTTTATGTCTGGCTTCTTTCACTCCCTCAGTTCTGTCACTTCTTTCACTTTTTTAGGCCACTTTTTTCCAGGTTCATCCATGTTGTAGCATGTATCAGAACTTCATTCTTTTTCATGGCTGAGTAATATTTCATTGTATTTATATACCACAACTATTTATCCATTCATCCATGGATGGATATATGGGTTGCTTCCACTTTTCAGCTATTGTGAATAATGCTGCTATGTATATATACTTGTTTCAGTACTGTTTTCAGTTCTTTGGGTACATTCCTAGGCATGGAATCGCTGAGTTATATGATAACTATGTTTAATTTTTTGAGGAACACTATTTTCTACAGTAGCTGAACCTTTTTACATTATCACTAGAAATGTACAAGGGTTCTGATTTCTCCACACCCCTGCCAACACTTACTTTCTGTTTTTTGTTTTCGCTTTTATTGTAGCTATCCTAGTGGGTGTGAAGTATCTTCTTAGCTCTAGTACCCCTGCTCTGCCAATCTCAGAAATAGTTTTCTGCTGACCTCTGACCTCCCTTAGATTAGGTCATATGCAACCTATAGGCTATATGAAATGAGTCTAGGAGAAGATACTCCTGTCCTGGTATCAGTCTAACCTGCTTCACCAAGGCTCCTCTTGCTGGCTCTGACCTCTGGGACTCAGTACCATGTATGTACTCAGGATTCTGGTTCCTATGCTCTCCAGCCCTAGCTGATTTTTCCATATACAATCCTTGCTGACTTTAACCTGCAGTTTCTAATGCACCCTTTCAGATATGGTAAATCCTATTTTGAATCAGAACATGTAACAGTCTGTTAATATGTCTCAGAAGACTAAGGAAGACTTTCAGGCTGGCGGAGACCTCCCCTAACTAAGGTGTGACAGAGGACAGCCTCTGCAAATATAGCTTAGCTTTCACTGCTGGGTTTGATTCTTCTGGCAGAAGTGTTCTTGCTGGTGTATACAAAGAGAGGGGAATAGGCTGTTAATGGAGAGAGTTTAATAAAGCCACTTCCCATTTTTCAAGAGTCAGCTCAAGAGTGATCCTCTCCATAAAGCTTCTTGGTCTGCAATTGAAAACTCCTCCCTACTTTGTGCTCCCGCCTGAACTATGGAATGACTTACACGACAGTTATACCACCGTATTTGTTGACCATTTATTCAATTTGTTGACATGCCAATCTCCACTCAGAGGGAACTTCTTGAGAGTAGGGACCCTGTCATGCATAGTGATACACAGTAGGTGCTCAATAAATGTTAGTGGATGAATGAAAGGCCATTGCTCAGTATGCAGGGTGGGTCTCATATAAAGAGTAGTGCCTTCGCTGTGTCATTTATTCAAAACTTATAAATGAATCACAAGAAAAAATGTGTCCTAGGACCAAAAACAGGGCAACAAAGGAGATGGAAATGGTCTTCTCCCATGTTGCTCTGTTTCACGTTTTCAAAAGATATAGACCTTCTGGAAAAGGCAAAACTATGGAGAAGTAAAAAATCAGTGATTGCCAGGGGTTGAGGAGGAGGGCAGGGTAAATAGGTGGAGCACAGAGGATCTTTAGGGCAGTGAAACCATTCTGTATGACACCACACAGATGGATACACATCATTATACATTTGTCGAAATCCACAGACTGCACAACACCAAGAGTGAAGCTTAATGTAAACTACAGACTCTGGGTGATAATGCTGTGTCAGTGCAAGTTCAGCAGTTGTTACCACTGTGACATCACAGTGTACCACTGTGGTGAGGATGCTGATAATGGGGGAGGCTGTGCATGCATGCGGGCAGGAGGTATATGGAAAATCTCTGTAGCTTCCACTCAATTCTGATGTAAACCTAAAGCTACTCTAAAAAATAAAGTCTAGGGACTTCCCTGGTGGTCTAGTGGTTAAGACTCTGCACTTCCACTGCATGGGGCACGGGTTCAATCCCTGGTCGGGGAACTAGGATACTGTGCAGTGTGGCTAAAAAAAAATTTTTTTAATTTTTTTAAATTAAAAAAATGAATATAGGGAATTCCCTCGTGGTCCAGTGGTTAGGACTCGGGCTTTCACTGCTGTGGGCCTGGGCTCGATCCCTGGTTGGGGAACTAAGATCCCACAAGCCGCATGGCCAAATAACTAACTAACTAAATAAATAAAGTCTATTAAAATTTTTTTAAACCACGGAAAGTACAGACCCATCCACCTCTATTGAGACATCAGCTTGGGCACTTGTCAAGCCAAATGCACGGACAGGGAAATGTTATACTGCCCATGACCCTGCCTGCCAGCTGCTTCTCTGGACTGGTTCTTGGTTCTATAGCATTCTGCTGCTGGCATCCTCAATTGATGCCAACAGCTCCCAAAGGGCAGGGAGTAGGCCCTAAGAGACTGTTTGGTCAAGACTAATTTTCTAAGAAATCTTGCTACTTCTGTGCTGAGTTCACTTAGAATAAAAAAAGGTTGGCAAGGTTGGCCCTTCCCACCTCGCAGATCTTCAGGAGTTGAAGCACCTAATACCCTCAACTAACCCTGGGTTGAAGAGACCAAACTTCCTTGGTCTGAGTGTGTCTCTATTGATTCAGTGAAAGCCTGCTTAATCCCGTTTGTCTGTCCAAGGACACAAAATGTCCAGCAATCAGTTCATACCCTCTGCATATCCACAGCTGAGAGCAGGAACAGCTAAATGGCACTCGGCCCCTTTTGGGTTACTTTTTATACCTGAGCATGCCATTCATATTTTAGCGTTTGTATCCCTGCTCAGGTTGTTTCCTCCACCTAGAATGCCCTCTCCTGCCACCTCCATGGAATAAAACCCTATCCATCTTTAAAGGCAGAGGTCACACGCCACCTCTTCTATAGGATGCCTTCTTTATCCCTCCCCTGGATCTCAGCAGCATTGTGTACCTCTCTAGAACATTCATTTTATCCCTTTAGGGCAGACCCAGGACCTCAACCCAGCCACTCCAACTGCCTTCGGGTCCATGGCACATCAGCAGCCCTTCTTGCCACAGGACTCACAGAGAGGAGGCCCAAAGAGCACTGTGTCCAGGGCCTTCAGCTGCAGCTTCTGCCGATGGCTCCGGTCTGTCATCTTTAGCACAGTCCCTGTCATGGTGGTGTTGGTTACAGCGAGCCTGTTGGGACAAAGAGTAGGGGCTCAGTTCTCTGCCGGCAAAGCAGGAAGGATCCTGGTAGGACTACCCACCTCGCCCAGGAACACTTCCATGACTTCTAGCTCCTGGCGATTGCTCCCCTCTGCACTCTAGTACACAGAGTCTGTACCAGTGGATCTCAACAAGCAGTGAACAGGACACATAACATTCACCAAGAATTTGTTCACCCTTCTCCCCATGTCCACCATCTCCTGAATATCCTACTCTCAAAGGATTATCCATCTGTAACCATTCCCACACCCAACTGTAAATTTTCTGTTGTACTTCTCCTTCCAGGGATTATCCACTATATACCTGTCCCCATACTCCCACCATTTGCAAACACATTCACCTGTCCAGCCCAGGTCAAAATGTTATGCCACGTGACCCAGCGATTCTAGGGACCTCTGAATTATCCTAATCCTAACACATTGTCATTAAATATAAATCTGCTGACAACAAGCATTGCATTAGTCTTCTTATAATGCAATGCAACAAGCATTGCATTAGAACTTCTAAGAAATGAGAGATGAGCTAACATTTAATAAGCAGCTGTGTATATCTCATATTGTTCTGACACTTTAGATACAATACCTCACTTGGTCCTCACACTTTAAGAACCCAGTTCTATTATTAGCTCCATTTTACAGATAAGAAAAATGAGACTTAGAGGTAAGTAACTTCCCAAAGTCACGCAGCAAGTAAGTGGCAAAGGCAGGATACAACGCAAATCTGCTAGATCCGTCCCATTATACCACGCTGCCTAGGGATGGGCCTAGAAGCGCCCACACTCTACCCCACACCCTACTCTCTGAATGCTCCATGCTTCCTGCTGTCACTAAGGTACCACAGCTTGTTTATCTCTACCCCTATGCCCAGCCTGGCTGGGTCTGGTCTTGGATCTAATCCTAGTCACAGAATGGCCAAGTGAGCGCACTGCCTGAGAACTAACTTCTTACCCTATGTTTTACAGTTTTAATCCAAGCCATAGCCGTTCTTCAAGATGGAATAGGCCAGGGATCCACAGGGCAATACTGTTATTTCCATGGGAAAGAAACCTAAATCCTGGAGCTTCATGGTCAATCATCTGTTTAATTGTCTGTCTTTTCCACTAAACGTGGAGTTCCTCAAGGCAAATGTGAGGTCTAATGCATTTCTTTGTCCTCAGGACCCAGGAGAGAGCATGGCACATGGTAAGTGCTTGGTAAAGTTTTGTTAAATAGAACTAAACTGAGTATTTCCAGGAAGCCTATTTTCAAACTACATGGGGCAAGAGGAAGGTGCAGTGAAAAAAGCAGGGCACTTAGAACCAGGCAGACCTGAGTTCAAATCCCAGCTCTGCCACTTACCAGCTCTGAAAAATCATAAAATATCTGAAGTTCAGTTTGCTTGCCCGAAAGTTGGGATAATAATTCCTTCCTCCCAGAATTGTGAGAATCAACTGAAATAATAGGTAGGAAAGTACCCTATAAAGGGATGTACAGACATTAAGATTATTACTCTCTCAGAGTAGGGAGAAGCTGTGAATAAGAGGCTGCAGGCAGCAGAGGAGGGACCAGCCAGCTCAGCTAGGCCTGGACAGCAGCGCCCGGTAGCCCTGTGGCTGGAGGCTGCGATGTGTGGGCATTCCAACAGCTTCCCCTTCCCCTTTCCCCTTTGCTGAAGCTCATAACCAGATGCACCTACATAATAAGATGACAGATTATACATAATCAGCACTTACCAGACAGTAAGCCCTTTGAGGGCAAGGGCAGGTTGTTGTCATCTTTATCCCCAGCACCCAGCACAAGTGCTTGGCCCAGAGCAGGTACCCAGTAAATACTGGGTGAATGAATAAGTGAATGGATTAATGACTGAATGACATATGGCGCTAGTTTGACATAACAAGAAGTCCAAGCAGTATTCCATCCCCTCCCCACACCCACCCCAAGTCCTAGTACATTGTGCCTGAAAGGGAGGCAGAGCTAGGGCATAGCAGCTGTCGGAAGAGTCATTCCAGAGAGGAGACTGGGGCCAATGGTAGTCAGCCCCCACCTCTGCACCGGTTCTTTAGAGCAGATAAACTGCAGATGGATAGTTCCGGGAAGGTTAAAAGAGCCCCGAGTCCCCTGGGCAATGAAAGAGGCAACTGCTTGGGGGACAGCAAAAGAAAAAGAGAAAAAACACAGGCTTTGAAGTCTACCCAGATCTAGGTTCAAATCGCAGTTTTGCCTCTAACTAGCCATGTGACCTTGGAAAAGTTACTAGGCCAGGTTCATCATCTAGATACAATAATACCTACCTTACAGGATTGATGTCAGAATTAAATGAGATACTGTACATAAAGTGTTGAGTAGAGTGCCTGGCATACACTAAGCACTCAATAAATGGTAGCTATAGTACTAGTCCCAGGATTGACAGAACTATTAAGTAAGAGAATAGATGTGGAGTGTCCATATGCTTTCTAGCAAGTGCACAGTAAATGTGAGAAGTCTACAGATCCTGCCCTGAAAGGGGTGAAACTTCAGTTAACAGGTGAGAGCAACGTGAGGGCAAGCCGACCCCAGCCCATTCCCTGCACCCCCAGTGAGAGAACCCAGTCCCTTCCTGACCTCGGCATGGCATGGCCACTGAGCTGCAGCTTCCGGAAGGTCTCCTCATACTGAGGCAGCTCCACATATGTGATCAGCCACTGCACCACCTCATCCACGGTCCAGTTGTATACTGCGGGAAGAGATAAGCAAAGCCATGACTCCAGAACGCAAGCACTGCTTGTTCTTACTGTCACAGTCTCCACGACCTTAACATTCAGCACATGTCTACGTGTTTAACAGATCTCTCTCCCATAAAATCCCAAGTATGAAAGGAATACATACAGTACTTTTTGTCTGACCTATAGGGGATGGACTTGTTCTTCCACTATTCAAGTATCTGGGATAAAATAATCCTTAATTATTATATAATATACTACATTATATATAGTATTATATTATATATTATTGCAATATAATAATAACAAATGATATTAATAGAAGCCATCATTTACATAGCACTTACTATATAACAGGTACTGTGCTAAGCACTTCACAGATATTAGCTCACTAATCTTTGCAACTACCATGTGAAGGATATGTTCCACTTCATCCCTATTTTACAGATGAAGAAACTGACACACAAAAAGGTTATGTAACTTTCCCAAAGTTATCCAGCCAGGAATTGGTAAAGCCAATTTTGGACTCAAGCAGTCTGGCGTCAATAGCCCTTGCCCTAGCCATTATGTCATAAATATAATACGTATATAACATTTTAAAATTTATATAAATAATATATATAAAGGATATATATATATGTGTATATATATATATATGGACACACACACATACACACATATGTATATCCTCCCTGACACTGCTGGAAAGCTTCATACTAAGGCAAATCTGAGCCGAGTGACGGATCCAGATGACATCACTTAAGCCCTGAATGAGACCACACCTGTAGACAGCCCTATTCATACATTTTTCAGTTTTGTGCAAAAAGTATTTTCCCATTTTGCTTATATCAGATTAAAAAGATTTTCTGTCACAGCAGGAGCCAATTCTAACTGAAACAATTACTGAGTGATCATTCACAACATGGTAAATCATGTCATTACCATACACGGATCACTGTACCTAATCATTTCCTCAATACTATAAGACTGTGATTTTTTTAAATGGACAACCATAAAAATAATCCTTGTAAAATAATTTTAATATTTCTGTGGTATTTAGCCACATATATAACAAATTTATTTCCATACTTTATCAAGAATCAATAATAAAAGAACAGAAGAGGACTTAACATGCAAGGAATATGTTCAAGCCAAGTAAAAGTCAAATGACATCATGATGTATTATATAAATCAAAGTTTCATAGGAGCTTGAGTAGAGAAAAATGGTGGGAGGACTGAGTCACCATATAGCACCCAGTAATACAGCTATGCTGAACTTAAAGAGCCTTGGGTGGGAGCAACTGGGTTTCAGCAAAAACATGTCATTTTATTGGATTTGAAATTTGCTTTTATTTAATGTATCAGTGTGTTTTTGTTCATATTTGTACACAAATTTTATATAGCAACTTAAACCTCATTTTATGTTTCTACATATTTAAATACCATTAAATAAAGCCAGCTTTGCAGGCCCAAGATAAATGATTTCCCTTAAAAGGAATCTGTACATTTCTCAAGTTGAAAACTACCGCTGTGAGCAGCAAGAAGCCAAAAAAGTTTTGAAGCAGAATGAAATGGTGAAATTTATCACCCTCCTCTCTTAAGATACATATCTTTCCCCAAAACTGTCCTTCATCAGAATGCTTTCTAATTTCTCCTTAATAGTCAGGAGACATTGAAGGCAGGGACCACATCCTATTCATTTTTGCTCACCCCTTTGTCGCTAAAATAGTGCCTCTTATACAGTGGCATCAATAAGAATTTACTGGAAGAATAACTACCCTAAATGAGGAGTTCCAGAAATGTTCTGGATGTGGGCCTCCAGACAGCAGCCACAATCCTCCTAGACAAATATACAGCTCAGGTGGAGGTTAACTTCTGAAATGCTTGTCCAAAAATCAGCATTCCTCTGGTAGGCACACCTCAGATCTTAGGTTGTTTCTGTCACTCGCATATAAACTAGAGAAGTTGGAAGGCTGGGCTCTGACCCTTCATCCTTCTACCTCCCATAGGGGAGCCCAGCACACGGTACAAAGCAGACACTCAGAGAAACATTCCGAATGAAACAATAGAAGACAAAAATGCTCTAATCTCTCCATGTCCCCAAGAAGCTGCTGGAGCTCAGGAGGAAAGTTCTGAAGCCAAGAGACTTTGAAGGTAGATTAGACCATTTGCAGAGGCACAGGAAAGGTTCCAGGAGAGGAAATGAGGCAGGTCTAGTGCACTCAGATTGATTGCATCCTAGAAGACAAGATCCCGGAGGCTTAGGTGGTGAGTGCTTAGTCATTGCCTGGTTGAATATCTAATTTCCAGACTAGAATACATTGGAGGGAAGAGAAAGATTAATTTCCAAGAGATATGCTCAAATCCTAGGGCTTAGGAAAGGAGGGATGACAGAACTGGGGTTAAAGAAGTGTTGAGGAAAGTAGAATAGACTGGCCTTTTATTCCTGAAAATGAATATATCTCCACATACACTATAAACGTGATCACTTGCTACGGTCCAGAGTGTTAGGTAATGAAGGCCTAGCAGAGTGGCACAAGATGTGAGGCAGACAGACAAGTGCTAGCCTGCAAAGTGCAGAGAACACATTCCTGCCCCTACTGTCAAGGGAGCTTGGCCTCACCCAGCATGGCGTATGGAGTAGAAAGGCCACGTCACGTATTGTTGCTTGAAACGCTTGAGGCCAGCGGTGCCACAAGGGTCTTCTGTCTACGGGGAAGACGACCTGATACAAGCCTGAGCATAAACGCTTGGCATGCAGGAACTCCTCCACTTGTGCCCTACACTGCAGTGGAGACAGAAGTCACTCTAGACCGGGGTTTCTCAGTCTCTGCAGCACTGACCTTTTGGACAGGTTAATTCTTTGCTGTTGGGGGCTGTCCTATGCATTGTAGGATGTTTAACAATAGCCCTGGCACCTACCCACCAGATGCCAGTAGCATGCTGCCAGTCATAAGAATCAAAAGTATCTCCAGATACTGCCAAACGTTCTCTGGGGAACAAAACTGCCCCCTACTGAGAACTACTGCTCTAAACACTACACTAAGTGAGGCAGAGGGTCTGTAAGGAGACCACTACACTCCAATAAGGATGGACTCTGAACATAGTCAGTCCCTACAGAACTAAGCTTTGCAGAAAAGGATGATGACTTCAGCATGTCAGGACAAACCTCAAGGCACTTGTTTTTTGGGTTTTGTGCTCCACATATTATTCTGTTACCTGGCAGATGCCCTACCTAGGTAAGGCTTGGCAGTATGGTGTTGCCCACTCAGAGTCACTGCAGTCTGAACAAAGTAAGCCAGGACGAGCTGCATCCTTGTCAGACAGCAACCCTGTGTCCCAGCATGAAGATCTCACTCAACAGTCAAGGTGAGATATTAGGGCCCCTTGTTCCTAAGGTTCAAGTATCTAAAAGTTAAAAATCTTGTTCTGCTTTCTCATTCCAAAAGAGAAAATGGGAAGAATCCCTGAGCCAAAGTGAGGAAGAAGGTAACAGCAAGTACAGAGAGCTGTGGCTGACAGTAAAAGGAGACAGAATTTGACCAGGGGAGCTTAGTACAGATAGAGACTCCAAGTGACTCACACGACCAAACCCCAGGAGGACATGCAAGCAAAAGAGAGTTTTCTAAGGTCATGATTCTCTCATCCCCCTAAGCCTGTCCATTTTGCTCCTAGAGACATCAAAGACTACATCTCTGGGCAAAATGACAAACGGTACTACACAGAATCGGAGAATGCCAACCTCTGGAGTTTTCCACAACAAATAGTCCTTTATAAAAGAAATGCACAAGGTGACTGACTATGTAGCCTCCAACCTTTCTAATGACATAATCTACATGTAAAAAAAATTTGAGCACACATTGCCAATATAAGAATATCTGTTTATAAATTAGATATATGTACTAACATTAGGTATACTGTAAAACATACATAAAAATTAAATGAGATAAAAATAAATGCAATATAAATACAAGCTATTATATTCTCTTGGGGCACCCCAATTGATTGTCTTGTACAGTTGGAAACCATTGACCCAAACTTCACAGCTTTACCCTACATGCTGCCTCTGTTATAGCTTTTAGCTTCTCAGTCTTCTTCTAGAATCAGTATCTTGCACTATTTACTTATTTATCCTTGAACATTGCTCTCAAACTTCTAGGTCTTTGCTGTTTCTGGAAAAGCTCTCTTCCCTCTTCCTGGCCTGATAAACACCAACTAACCCTTAAAACCCAGCTCTACCTCTTCACTTATTGAAACTCTTTGGAGCCCATTTTAAAATCATGAGCAAAGACACAGAACTATAAAGTGTGGGGCCTGTTCAGAGAACTCTGACTCCCGTCTGCCTGGAGTCCAAGGGTTATATATAGGGACAAGGAGGGTGAGGCACTGCTGAGGCCAAATGATAAAAGGCCTTGAAAGCAGTCGGTCCAAAACTCCAAATTCATTTATTCATTGGGGGGAAATTTTTATTGAGTACCTACTACTTGCCAGGCACTGCTCTAGAAGCTAGGAATATAACAGTGCACAAAAGAGTCACAGGTTCCTAGTGTTTATATTCTGGTGGAGAGAGACAAACTAAAACACTGTAACAAATAATTGTATGTTGGGTAGTGATAAATACAAGAAGAAAAATAAAGCAGGGTAAGAGGATAAAGAGTAGTGCTATATCAGACCAGATCAAGGAAGGCCTCTTTGACAAGATGACATTTGAGGAGAAAATAAAATGAAGTCATGAGCCATGTGCATACTTGGGGGAAGGGCATTCCAGGCAGATGGAACAGTAAGTACTACTCCTAGCACATGAGCTATAGTGATACCTCCAGGGGTATGCCAGAACAGATCCTTGGCCTTGGCCAATCCTTTTTCTTGTCAGAGAAAGAATAAGCAGTAAGAAATGGGCTCCTGAATCCGTATGTCTTTCCCCTAATGGACTGGTGGTGCCTCCAAATAAAGCCCTCACTTTTGTAGTTTCAAACTCACTATGTCTGGCAGAAAAGTTACCAGTACCTTCTTT